CCCAGGGCCTGTACAGCAGCGAGAGGCGCCCACGCGTCGTCACTATAGCACATCAACTATGCTTTAGCGTACTCGTTAGCACCTTGTAGCCACATCCGTTACCTCCTGCAAGAACTGCTTTGCCAGGAAGAAAGCACCCAGGTGCTGCTCCAGAGAAGCAGCAGAGAGGGAGTGCTGTTAAGAGGTGTAAGGAACAGTGACTATCCAGGTCAGCACCTTCCAGCTACACTGCAGCAGATGAGACCTCAGAGAGGCTATAGGCAGATCAACCTGTTCAGTGCAGAAGTATCTGACAGCTGGGGAAGCAGTCCTGGAAGGCCCACAACCAGCCCTGTCAGCACTTTCGCCTCACCAAAAGGCCAAGAACTCCCTCATTGCAGGAACAGGCAGGCCTTTCTCCATAAGGAATGAACTTCTGGAGAGCTGAAGCACAGCTGAACATGTGACCAGAACCTCCTTCAGTCTGCTGCTACAAGGATGTTACTGTACAGCAGAAGTTAAAGCCACAACTTCAACAATCCATCCTTAAACTGTGTGGTTTGGTGCTTCATCACTATAGGGCTTTAAACTAACATAAAGCAAGTTCTTTCCAGTTCAGACTCTTGCAGCCAGCAGCAGTAAAAGCCCACCCATGGAAAAGCCACACCACAACAGGGCTATTTAATTGCTACCTTGGAAGCAGGTTCTAGAGTCTTCCTCAAAGCTCACATACTATGGGCCAATGGAAGCTGATGCCCAATAGCCTCTTCCTTTCATGGGTGTCTCCCCTGATTTTTTAGAAGAAAGAGTGCTCAGGTTCTACCATAAGGAACATTAACTGCCATTGTGCATTTTCACCATCCATTCAGTTTACCTTCTTCCTCCTCCATGAGAGATCACTTCCCTCAAGGAAGGCTGACATCAAGTAAAACCAGCCTTAAGTAGCACCAGCCTTACACCTGCCCTACTAGAGGCAAGTGTCAAGCTCCACAGCCAGCTCCATTAGCAAGAAGGTAGCTCTGCAGGATAAAACCCACATGCCATTTCACTTGATGCTATTTAGTCACTGCAGAATTCTAGGACTGCTTCCAGATCACCTAAGCACAGTTGTTAGCATTGTCAAAGCTGCGCTTTCTTGCAACAACCAAGCGCTATGTAGTCCAGACCAAGTATATGTCAGTTAGTAAACAAGAGACAATTGGACTTGATATAACATTTATTGAATATTTCCACTCTAGTGGATGAAAAGTCTGTACAAAACCAAAACATCTCCTTTACTTAAACCAATCTAAAACCAGTCATCTCAATCAAAACCCACTACAAATACAATAGCTTCTTTGAAGCCATGGTAACACTTAAATACGGTTAAGACTTCAATGCAGAAATTTGGTTTCTTAGAAAGCTCAAGGGAGCTTTAGCTTTTCTCAAAGTTACAAAAAGGCAAAACTGTGTTTCACAGATACAGTCCACTGGAATCACCAACACTGGACAATTAAGTACTTAGAGTCCTGAGATAACGAGCAATTGTGGTATCCTTTAGACAGTTTTCTGTTGTCCTTTCTTTCCAATGAGAGACTTATGGATATGCGGTATTACACCTAAGAAAGAACAATTAATACCATGTTATTTTTCTTCAACAATTCTCCTAAAATTCGCACTTCAAATACAGTGACAGCATTAAACAATCCCTACATCCATTTGAATCCTTGCCACCCAACTCACCACAGTTAGCAAGGAATTTACATACCACCACCAGCAATTGTTGCCTTAATGAGAGAATCCAATTCTTCATCTCCTCTAATTGCAAGCTGCAAATGACGGGGAGTGATACGTTTCACCTTCAAGTCTTTGGATGCATTTCCTGCCAGCTCAAGAACCTGAGGACAAGACCAGTTTTAAACAGTTACCCAACTAAAGTGTGACCAACTGCATGGCATTAGCTATTTTACTCTCTACACCAAACACACTAGTGACACCAAGACAGCAAATGCTTCTTTAGCAAGGAATGTATGCTCCCTTTGGAGCTCTGCATACAGTTTTCCAAGAATAATGTTTTACAGCAGGTATGACATGTTGGGATGTTACATTTAATAAAATACTTAACACTTCCATCCTTCCTGCAAAGTCACAGCTATTAGATATGCAATAAATGCAGAGCAAAAGGTTCCGTGCATATTTCATTGTTACTTTATGATGCACACCCTCAAAACTAGATCAAAGCAAGTGAGGAGTTCACAGTCCAGTCCTCACAATGGTAGAAATATAGTAGGGTCTGGTCTTTATGCCATTTCAGAGTCGACCAACTTGCTTGCACCCCTTGCAGGAGTCTTTACCTCAGCTGTCAAGTACTCCAGGATTGCAGCACTATACACAGCAGCTGTGGCTCCCACACGCCCATGGCTGGTAGTCCTAGACTTCAGATGCCTGTGGATGCGGCCAACAGGGAACTGGAAAATAACAGAAGTATAAATAGGCTGTGATGACAGACAGGAAGAGAAAGGCACTAATCTAAACCACACTCCGGGCAACAGAATCCCAGTAGCATAAATACAACAGGCACCAGACTACATTTCAACACTTGACAATCCAGCTAAGGACACTGTATGCCAAGTTCTCTTGCCTCCTGAAAAGCAAAAATATCTAAACACACCCAAGGATCAAGCAGAACCTTACACCATTATGGATAACAGACAAAGGGGAGACTGTGCAGGTTTCACAAGGTACAACCGAGAGGTGGAAGGTCAACCTGACTCATTCACCCATGCCCCAGCTCCTGCTCACCTGCAATCCAGCCCGCTGAGAACGGGACACCGCTTTGGTCTTGGTCTTTCCAGAGTCCTTCCCAGCTTTACCACCAGCCTAACAACGAGAAGTTCCCAA